ACGTTTCAGCAGGGAACCTATCCCTTTTCCTCTTCTCCCACTGCAGCTCTGAGCTCTCTGTATTTCAGCATGGGAGGAATGCTGCTTGCCGCCCTTCTGCTGGCTGTGCTAACTGGCTGTATCGGTAAGTAAGCTGGAGATGCCAAGCTACAGACGCCTTTGTGGGAAGAGGGAATTGTCATTCTGATTTCGGCTCTAAGGCCTTGTTTTCCAACCTTGGCAACTTCTAGGGGTGTGGACTTCAACGCCCAGAATTCTCATCAATGGCCAAGCTGGCTGTGGAATTCTGGGAGTTGAAGTGCACACGCCTGGAAATTGCCAAGGTTGGCAAGCAGTGCTTTAAGGAGAGGTTAGGGGCTTCTCAGAAGACTCGTGGTTTCCAAAATCTCCACCCAAAATTTAGAATGAATCAAGAAATGTGCTTTGAGTGAAGGTCTCAAACCATGATATAGAAGTAGTTCCCCACTACCTTGTCTGAGAATGACTTTTCAACTTCTCAGTGTAGTTTACAGCCCTGACATTTCCTGGTGGTCTCCCACCCAAAGATGAATCAGATCCTGCCCTATTAAGCTTTGGTGAGATGTCACCACCTGCTATAGGATAGCATGAATTAAGGCACACCCAGCTCAGCCCTTGCTCTTGTCATGGTGTAAAGAAAGCCTCTTTCCAAACTCAAGTCCCATCTTTATTTTGGGCAACTCAGGGCAGCATGTATTATGCTCTCTCCTTTGGTTTTCCCCACAACAACAACCCTGTAGGTGGGGTAGGCTGAGGGGAGGGAGTGGCCTAGGGTTCCCCAGCTGGCTTAAAGGAGGACTAGAACTCATGCTCTCCCATTTTCTAGTCCAGTGCCTTAACCACTACACCCAGCTGGCTGTCTTGCTTAATGCACTGTCCCAAGACCTTCATCCCTGGTTAGGGCTGTAGCCTTTCACTTGGTCAGTGACCATGGATCCCCTGGGATGCTCCAGAAAAGGACAGACTCAGTCCAGTTTTGCTGTCTTTCCTGGGAAGCAGGGTGCAAATCCATTTGAGAGCTCAAACTTGGAGATGAATGGAGGAAGAACATCTAAGTTTTTTTCTTTGATACCTTCAGGATATTGGAGGAACACAAAGAAAGTCCCACCACTTCAGGCAGTGTTCTTGAAACAGTACGGATAGCCCAGCCTGGTGGATTATGCTCAGAGAGAATGAAGCTTATTGAGAAGAACAAAAAAAATCCAATCTCTGGGGCCCCAGAGGTACTGAATGCTGACTTTCAAGACCAAGGTCTTCCCAGCTGAATGTTGGAAGCACTCAGGATGTTGCGTGAGCTAGTATTTGCTCAGACAGTTTGATATCTGTGACTGGATATCTCCATCAGAGCAAAAGGAGACTGTTCTGCAAACACCTTGAAAATAGTATGGTAATTACTAGAAGCAGCGCTGATTGTGTTGGGCAGGACTAAGTAGGTATGGGAATCTTGTAGTATGTAACTATATATAACTTGTCACACACACACACACACACATTATAATATAAATATATAACCATGGTGCCCAACTTATGATACATCCCCCCCCCAAAGTCAGGTTAGCTCCATCCCAGTTAACATTCTGGAAGTCCCTCAAGACCTGGTTATGTCCCCAGGCTTGGGGGTCTCAGGGAACTGGTGACATTCCACAATGGCTCCACTATTGTGGTTAATATATTCACTCACTCCATGCCTTGTGGTTTGTATATTTTAATTTTTAATAAAAATTGTTATATTTTTATAAGGATTGTTTTTATATATTTGTTGTTTTATTTTATTGTTGTATGCTGCCCAGGGTCACTTATTGTGAAGGGAAACCACATATAAACCACATTTTCACCCCGTTCAAAAGAGACAATAAAAAAGCTGTTGCACCGTGGTGCTGCAAGAGAGGCAAGCCTCAGGCATGCTGCTGGCGGCCCAGGGAGGAGTTTGTGCCATGAGACGTTCCCATTGCTGCATTTCCATCTCGGATTACCAAGCTGTATTAACCTGACTGTATATACGAAACAGAAGAAACAATTGCTGAGAATCCTACCCCATGTGAGAATGAGTTGTGGGGTTTGTCCTGGTTAACTTCATGGTTGCCTAACTTTGGATGGCCCAAATCCTCATTTCTGTTTGATTTTCATTGTTCTTATGATTGTGATTAAATGTATTTTATTTCAATGTATGCCTGCTTGCACTCAATATATGAAAAGCATGTTACCAAAAGATAAGGCAAGAGTTAAAATGATGGATTTAAACTCCATAGGAGCCACAACTGATCCCAACTCTCTGCATATTTACAGCAACCCTTGAGTTCATTATGTTATATGTGGGCATTGTGCTGCCCCCCCCACTCCGCACAAGCTTTTTGTGTATTAGGGCTGTCCGGACAATCTGTTTGTGTACTGTTGTGTTTGTGTATTAGGAATTTCCTGTGTCATTCCTGCTTGTTCTGGTTTGATTTGATAGGTGACCAAGAAAGGAAGAAGTGTTGAGTTAAAAGTTGAACTATAGTACCCTTTGCCTCATTACAATAGTAAAGAACACACCCCTGGGAGTAAACATGAGATGCTAATGAGCCCCCCTCAGGGCTTATTATGGGGTACACAGTTGTAGTACGCATGTGCGTGATGCAATACACCCGTTGATTTGTTTTAGCCAATAAGAATTGTGATGCATGTTTCACGCTGATTGAAATGAAAAAACAAAACAAAACCTTTGGGCGACACCCCTCTGGGCACGCCCAATTTGGATTTTGGTCCTGAGCACGTCTCTTTGCTTCCTTACAGAAATCAAGTTTCCTCGATTCTGTGCTCGATTCGGCTCATGTTCACCGGGTGAAAACGTGCTCCAATCCGTTGGTCACCCCGCGGCCAACGGCAGATCCAGAGCATCTATCTCATTATATGGTGTGGGATCGGCGGCTTTGACACTTCACTCCTTCCAGTCCCTAATTGCCTGTCGGGCTTGAGTCTTCAGCTCTGTATGGATTTTATCATATATGCCAGCTGAAGGAGATCTGCAGTTAAAGGTAATTTCTTAATTAAAGGCAACTTTTAAATTCAGTATGTTATAGTTCTCTCGGGTCTTTCGATTAAATGCTACCTTAAGTCCAACGCACCGAAAGTCCTCAGAAGAGGGCGGGGAAGGGTGTTCCGCAGACAGGGCGGACTTTCGCTCAGAGTCGTCAACTCGGCTGGAGAACCACGTGGCTCCTTTGTTTATCTCGACTTTCTCCTTTCGGAAGCCCCTCCTCCACGCACGCGCAGTTCCTTGAGCCCCCCAATCTACTTTCGCTTTCGCTGAGTCGGGTGCGCGATCTGCCCAGCAGCCGATGGTGGAGGCGGAGCTTTTTCTTCTCCTGAATCGCGGGGAGCTCCGACGAACAGCCGCGGTGCGCGGGGCCTCGGCGTGCTTTCCCCGGAGGCTCAGCCCCGGAGGCCTCCGTGCAAATCGGAAGCGCCCTTCGCAGGCAGGGGCCGCCGAGCTCTCGCTTCCCCCGGGCAGGAGCCGCTTTCCTTGGGGCAGGGAGAGAGCAGCGGGCGGAGGCCGAGCCCGGTTTTGCGGGGAGCGTTGGGCTCCTACTTAAAACCCTCGCGATGGTGAGGATTTCCCCGTTCCTGAACGTAGAAGCTGCCAGAATGACCGAGAGGAAGAGAAAGCAGAAAGGCTGCGACTCTTGCAAGCTCCCGTTGCAAGGAACTGAAAGGAGAAGCCAGACGGGTTTCTAATCCTTGGGAACCTCCATCTGGCAGGCCACCCAGGAGCTACGGAGGCCTTGATCCGGAATTGGGGCTCATCATCAGACCCAAAGTCTTGCTGCTGGGAAATTATATTTGGAAGTCCAATGCTGTAAATAAACCTCCGGGCTTACAAGATCACCCCCATGTTTAGAGACCGATTGGTGGAATTACTGGGCATTGGAACTAACCCTGGGGGTTGAACCTGTATGCAGCCCCACTGCACCCACAGCTCAGAGCAGACATCTGGGAAGGGGCTGGTGGATGAGGGAGGAGAAGGTCTGGGTAGGGAGGAAATCTTGGCCCGGAGGGTCCAGCTATCACTTCTCAAGGGAGCAGGTCTTGGTGTGGGGAGATGCTTCTCTGCTGGGGCCCTGGAGTTCAGTCCTGCATTTGCAGCTGAGAGGTCTCTGGGCTGGGAAAGACCAGTCTCTCCCCGCCTCCCCACCATATCCAGAGAAAATTAGAGAAACTGCAGGTCTGTGACTCTGAATCAGACAGGTGAGTATCAGGAAAGAGAAGGAGGATTCCTCATCTGCAAAGACTTGTTAACATACCCACCTCCTGGACTTTAATTTGGAAGGGATTTTTATCAAATATTCCAGTGACACAAAGGTCTCCGAAGAAGAGCATGAGGATTTGCATTGGACTGCAGCTCTGCACAGATGGAGAGCTCAAAGTAGTACTTTGTGAAATATTCTCTTTTTCACGGTTGAAAATAACTCACACTCTTCTTGAAATTTAACCTCTGTGAATGAAAGTCACTTTGTAGAGGGAGTACTATATATATTGTGCTCTCTTTGGAGCTGCACTGGAGCGCAGGTGGACATCCAAAAATCTTCAGGGATGGGAGCAGCCAAAGGGCCTCCCGCCATTCAGGCTGGCAGCAGAGGGGACTTCAGGGGAAGGAGCAGGCTGAAAGTCCTCCAACCCAGCCTGTGCTGACTCTATACTTTTTGCCTGTGACTGTTGACCAGAGGACTGTAAGTATTATCAGGCATAGAACATAATTTTTTCATGTATCTTTTGCTACATTGTCCATAACAATAGATTAGCAAATTGATTTATATTGTTCATCTGAGTTTGTGTGTATCTTATTCAATATATCAAGGTTTGGCAAAGATGTATGGTACTCTGACTTATTTCTGAAGTTGAGGTTTCTGGGCAAGAACATGATTCAAGGGCAGTTAGTAGGAAAACTTGCTTCCATTAATTTCTACCCCAGGAGCAAACAAGGAGAGGAGTCAAGAGAAGGAGAAGATTTTTTGTTTATTTATTTATTTATGACCTCTGCCTCCAATACTGCAGCTTCATATTTTCTTCTCTTGGGATGAAATAGGCTTGGTCTTTCCCCTTCTCCTATGGAATTATCTGAATGGGGATACAGAACCTTTTTCCTAAATAAAATGTGAAATGTCCTAGTATTATAAATTCCAGAAAAGACTGCCAAAGCATGTAAAGAATTAAAGATATTGCATGTCACATTATCACCCCTCGCAGCTCCCCGGACAAAATCCTCTCACCTGCCTCTCCCGCAGCTCCTCCTCGCCGGCGGCTTGGCTCAGCAGGAAGCCCTCGGCCAGGGCCACCGCCTGCGAGCAGGTCTCCGCCCCGCATCCCCCGCCCCAGCGCTCCACCGCGGCGGGCAGCAGGGCCAGGAACTGCTCCAGCACCAGCAGGTCCGGCATCTCCACCTTGCTGCTCTTCTCTGGCCGCAGCCACTGATGGCACAGCTGGTACAGTTTGCTGCAAACCTCCCAGGGCCCCTGGGCCTCCTGGTAGCAGGAACTCCAGAAGCACCAGCGCTGAGCGTCTGAGCAGAGGGTCCACTCAGCAGAGCTTTGGATGAACAGAATGTCTCCTTTTCACAGCAAGGAGATATTCCCTGATTACTTCAAACTACAAAAGACCCTCCCCAATGACCTGGACCCAAAGTAAAGAAGGTCCTTACCCAGAGTGGCCAGATTCCTAGAAACCTTTAGCACTGTTACTCAACCTCAGCAACTTTAAGAGGTGTGGACTTCAACTCCCAGAATTCCCCAGCCAGCATTGGACTTTTTGAAGAATACTGTCTGTCTTCCTTGGAGGCAGAAGTCTCTTTGGGTGTTAAATACATGTTTTTCTCTTTACATCATTATTTGAGGCAAGATGTGCATTTCTTTTTACTCAAATGAAGCTCTCTCATAAGTTAAACCAGGAGCAAGCAAAACATGACCAAGTTAGTTCAGGGTGGCAGAGCATTCCTATGATTAAAAAATAAAATAACACGTTGTCACCCACACTCTCTGCTGTCCGCTTGTCAGAAGAGAGTGCGGTAAGTCCGATTTCTCGGGAACCCTTTTGGGAGTTTGGGGGCTTCGCTTCCCCGCTGCTTTTGCTCGTGGGAAGAGCAAACGCTTTGCAAGAAGAGGTCCGCGACCACGACTTCCCTCCCGCCGACCCTCGCCCCACCGCGATTCCCTGCAGGAACAACAGCTGAGCCCACGCCGCGCCCCGTTTGTAACACCGCAGTCCGGGCAACTGCTGAGCTTCCGAATGAAACAGAGCATGCGCGAGAGACCTCGGCCAGCAGTTGTCGCCCTGCGGGCGGGACCCGACGGGTTGCAGCAGGAAGTGATGCCTCTCT